GCAGCCAAAGGTGAGGCGGGCCTGGCCCACTCCTTGGTGACCCCAACTGACCCCAACACTGAGTGGCTGGGAACTGACCCAGGCTAAGCTGAGGCAGCTGTCAAAGCAGTCCTAAAATTAGCCCCAACAGGGATAGGGAGGGGGGATCTGGCCCAGGCTTCAGGCTCCCACGGCCCCGAGGGACTGAGCCCACACCTCACTCAAGATAGAAGAGGTCAGCCAGAGTTTTGGCAGTGACCTACCCAGAGGCTAGGAGGGGAGAGGGGACATTCACAAGCTAGGATGAACACAGTTCAGAAGGGGGATTGATGGGCAGGAGGTGCCCCCTGCCAGTTGCTTGGACCTTATGTGGCTCCCAGCCCCAAGCCTTTCATAACCCTGAGAGGAACCAAGGAGAGACCTCAGTATTTATGCTCCTAGAACAGGACTGAGGGCCCAGCCTGTCCTCCCAAGGCTGAACTGGTTAACCTCACACCTTAGCGGCAGGTCCCAAGAGCAGAGGAGGAGCCAGGAGGTGTGTTAGCCTGATTGAGAGAGGCATGGACTGGAGACACCTGGGACAGGCCCAAAGTCAGCCCCATCCTGCCCAGGGATGTAGCTGTACCCACTTCCCTCCTCTGCCTTGGTGCTCTGAGAATCTTATTTAAAATGCAGGTCCTGTCTGAGTGTGGTAGCTCATGCCTGTAATCCCAGCACCTTGGGAGGCCAAAGAGGGAGGATCACTTGAGGCCAGGACTTTGAGATCAGTCCTGGCAATATGACAAGACCCCCACCTGCCTCTACAAAAAACTTTTTAAAAAAATTAGCTGGATGTGGTGTCACGTGCCTGTAGTCCCAGCTACTTGGGAGGCTGAGGCAGAAGCATTGCTTGATCCTGGGAGTTCGAGGCTGCAGTGAGCTATTGAGTATGATTGTACTACTGCACTGCAGTCTGTCACTGACAAAGTGAGACTCCATCTCTTAAAAAAAATTAAAAACCAAAACCAAAAACAGATCGTGATTCAGAAGATCTGGGGTCAGGTATGAGATTCTTCAAGATCCTAACAAGGTCCCAGATTGGCCTGAAGATCACACTTTGAGCACGAAACTCATTTGCAGCTTGGGTGGACCCCAAGGTCAGGGCCCCTGTCTTCTCCTGTTCACAGGTACCCTCAACTCCCATCTGCAGTAGAACCTGGCATGGGCATATGGGCACACAATATACCAGGCGGCTGACTGCTTTATTGTGGGTTCCCGACTAGGCACGTAGGTGTGCGGGGATCCCCGGGCCTCTGTGTCTACTGCATGTCTCTTGTTACATGCGTAAAAAGTGAACAAAGATGCACATATACAATAATGATGACATAAAAGTAGCTAAAGTTTAAAAAATAGCTAATCTTTATTGAGCACTATGCCCAGGCAAGGTACTAGGAATGTTACACGCAGTATCTTATTTAATTCTCATAACAACTCCTATGAGATGAGAAAACTGAGGCTCAGAGAGGTTAAGTGAGTTGCTCAAGGTCACACAGCTAAGTGTCAGTCAGGACTGGAATATGCATGTGCACCCATGTTGATCAGTGCACCCATCTTGGTGCATGTGAGCTTGTGGGCATGCGTGCTATTGGGTGGGCACAGGGGATGCAGGAGGTGAGTAGCAGCAAGGATGGGGTGGGCGGGGTAAGAGCCATGCACGATGATTCAGACTGTGGGCTTTCCGCAGGTAGAAAGACAGAAAGAGACCTAGGCGGAGGGAGATGCAGGCAGGAGGCGGCAAGTCTGGGCCTGAGTCTTCACACTGCAGGACCAGCTTTGACTTTCTCCTCTGTGGAATGAGTGGGATAATATTTGCCTCATGAGACTCTGCTGTGAGAAAGAAACACGGTAACAATACAAGTGTGCCACACAGGCCTGCCTGGCACACAGTAGGCACTCAGGATGTGTGAGCTGGCCCTTCCTTCCCCTAGGGACTGAACTGCTTGGGAGTAGCTTGTGCCCTGACTGGTAGCAGCCAGCTCGCTGGATGAAAGGAGGCATCCTGGGGAGGGCTGGGATGAGGGAAAGGCATGGAGGGTGGAGAAGGTTGTAGCTGAGGGAGCACCCAGGGAGGGACAGGCACCCGAACAGAGCTCAGAAACTGGCCCACTACCCTTGCCTTGGCAGAGACAGGAGAAGCTGCAAGGCTGGAGACGCCTCAATTCTGGAGAAGCCCTCTCCGGAAAGCAAACACCCTGTCCCTTGACTCAGCCCTCAGCTACACCACACACATCAGCCCTCACGGTCCTGCAGGCCATGCCCGCCAGAGACCAGATTTCTGGGCTGGGCCGGGCATTGTTTAGGCTGGGCTTTGGAAGTGCCCAGTGACTCACTTACCCTTCCTCCATCCACAACCCGATCTTGCTCCTGGAGCTGGGGTGCCCTGAAGCTGCCCACACGTGGGTGGCTCCCAGAAGGGGGAAGCTGTGAGGCCGCACCGGGCAGACCCTTACGCCTCAGCAAGTCTGCTGCCTAAGTCCCTCCTTGTGGTTGGTGAGCTGCCTCCTGCAGGGCTCTATAAAAAGCAGGTGGGTTGCCTGAGTGAGAGTCAGTCCCACCTGGGACCTGGAGTGAAGGGGACACTCAGGTGGATCCCCCATGCCATCCAGAAACAGGTGCTGGGAGTGGAGCAGAAGGTACAGATCCCACCCCAGCCACCCATCCAAGTTGCTGATGGGAGTACGTCCAGAGGCAGCTGTGGAAGGGTGACTCTAACGCCCCCGTGTGGCAGCAGAGGAGAAAGGCAGGGCTGGGCAGAGGTGTGGGAAACAGCCTCTGGATAGGGTGAGTCCAGTGTGAGGTGCCCTTCCTGGGTAATAGGGTGAGGGCTCTATCTACTTACACAGCCTCCGTCCCTACAGATCACTCCAATCCAGTATCCACCTCCCCCACCAAACCGGGAGCCCCTATCAGACTGGGTAGGGCAAGGTTGGATCCATCATATCTCTACAGCATGCTGGGAGGGCATTGTGAGGGCTTGAGGAAGCGATTTCAGTGGAATTGAATTCAGTATAAATGAAAGGAAATAGTGTGGAATGTGGAATGTGCACAAAGACATGAACAATATGTTCATTCAATCAATGCGTGTAAAAGCAGAAACTGTGTTGGTTATTGTTGAAGTGGGTGATGGGCACAGGGGTTCATTACACCATTCAATTCATTTTTGCGTGTGTTTGAAATATTTTGAAATGAAAGAATTAATAGAAAACATAAAGGTCCAGCAATAGAAATCTAAATCAATTATGATGCAGCTGTGCAAAGGAATGTCTCCAGACATTAAAAATACTGCTGTTGTTTTTTGTTTTTAATTATTTATAACAGCTTTATTGATATATAATTTGTATAGCATACAATTCACCCATTTAAAGTATACAATTCAGTGGTTTTTAGTATATACACGAAGTTTTGAACCAGCACAGTCAATTTTAGAACATTTTCTTTTTCTTTTTTTTAAGACGGAGTTTCGCTCTTGTTACCCAGGCTGGAGTGCAATGGTGCGATCTCGGCTCACCGCAACCTCCGCCTCCTGGGTTCAGGCAATTCTCCTGCCTCAACCTCCTGAGTAGCTGAGATTACAGGCACGCGACACCATGCCCAGCTGATTTTTTGTAGTTTTAGTAGAGACGGGGTTTCACCATGTTGACCAGTATGGTCTCGATCTCTTGACCTCGTGATCCACCCGCCTCGGCCTCCCAAAGTGCTGGGATTACAGGCTTGAGCCACCACGCCCGGCCCAATTTTAGAACATTTTCATCTTCCCTTAACAAAACTCCACATCCATTATCAGTCACTCTTCATTTCTTCCCAGACCTCCCCATCCCACCGCCTATAAATTTACTTTCTGTCTTTATAGATTTGTCTATTTTGGATATTTTATATGAGTGGAGTCATACAATATGTGATCGTCTGCGTCTGGCTTCTTTGATTTAGCATAACTTTTTTTTTTTAATTTAATTTTATTTTATTGCATTTTAGGTTTTGGGGTACATGTGAAGAACATGCAAGATTGTTGCATAGGCACACACGTAGCAGCATGATCTGCTGCCTTCCTCCTCATCACCCACATCTAGTACTTCTCCCCATGCTCTCTCTCCCCAACTCCCCTCCCCCCGCTGTCCCTCCCCTATTTCCCCCCAACAGACTCCAGTGTGTAGTGCTCCCCTCCCTGTGTCCATGTGGTTTCATTGTTCAACACCCGCCTATGAGTGAGAACATAGTATAACGTTTTTAAGGTTCATCTATGTTGTAGCATGTAACAGTACTTCATTCCTTTTTGTGACTGAATAATATTCCATTGTATGGATATGTCACATTTTATTGATTCATTCATTTATGGATGGACATTTGGACTGTTTCCATTTTTAAGCTATTATAAATAATGCTGCTATGAACATTCATGTACAAGTTTCATGTGTGGACACATGTTTTTATTTCTCTTCAATATATACCTAGCAGTGAAATTTCTGGGTCTTAAGGTAAACCTATGCTTACCTATTTGAGGAACTTTCAGACTGTTTTCCAAAGGGGCTGCACCATTTTACATTGCCTCCAGCATTGTATGAAGGTTCCAATTCGCCACATTTTGTTATTATCTGTCTTCTTCATTCTAGCCTTCCCAGTGGGTGTGGCACATGTAATTTTTAATGACTTGGGGAAAATATCCATGGTATAATGTTAGATTTTTTTTTTTTTTTTTTGAGACGGAGTTTCACTCATGTTACCCAGGCTGGGGTGCAATGGCGCGATCTCGGCTCACCGCAACCTCCACCTCCTGGGTTCAGGCAATTCTCCTGCCTCAGCCTCCTGAGTAGCTGGGATTACAGGCACGCACGACCATGCCCAGCTAATTTTTTGTATTTTTAATAGAGACGGGGTTTCACCATGTTGACCAGGATGGTCTCGATCTCTTGACCTCGTGATCCACCCGCCTCGGCCTCCCAAAGTGCTGGGATTACAGGCTTGAGCCACCGCGCCCGGCCATGTTAGATTTTTAAAAGCAGTCTTTAGAACTATTCATACAGTGTAATCTGAACTCTGTAAAATGCATATGTCTATAGACACCAGACTCAAAAGAAAAAAAATAATCTACCAAAATGTTAATATGATTATCTGTGGCAATTTGGGGTAATTTTTATTCTTTCCTAAATTTTTGACAATTTGGACATGCATGGATGGGATAAAAACCCAATATTATAAAAGAAGGTAAAGAAAAATAATATATGTTGATGGAAAGATAATACAAATAAATTTAAATAAACATTAAAACATACGGAATGAAGCTGCTTAAGGATCTGTGTGCAGGACTATGGTGTGGGCACTTGGAGGAGGGTGTCTGAGTATGGTTGGAGAAGCAGAAGGGTCAGGCCATTGATTCTGGGACATGAGGGTGTGCAGAAAAGGAGCAGTCACTCTCAGAGGGAGTCAGGGAAGCTTCATTGGAAGACGAAACTCTGCAGCTTGGCTGCATCTGAAGCAAGAGGAGAGATGGGTGGGAGCTGGGGGCATCCAGAGCCCAGACACGTCAGACACAGGCCTGATCTCTGTGCACACAAGCCTCTGGGGTTGCAGCAAGGGCACAAATGTCTCTAAAGGCAGAGACAGGGATCTGAGTGACCCTGGCTCTGCCCTAACTTGAGGTGACTGACCTAGCCCCATGCATTGAGGATGAGTCTCCTTACCTTCAAAATGGCCCTGATAACTTCCCTTGAGGGCTGTTGTGAGGCTTGAGTGAGACGGGAGTGTGCAACAGTTCCAGTCACGCCTCTCCCACAACAGGTGAGGGATTTGCTGCAAGGGCAGAGGGAGAGACAAGGTGACTCTAATGGTGGGGTGATGTCAGGGGAGGTTTGGCAGGGAGCAACCCTGAGCTGGGCTTTGAAAGATGGAGGCTGGTAGAGGAGGAGCTATTTCAGGCAAAAGCAGCTGGGATAGGCCTGCTTGGGGGTGGGGTGCTGGAGACAGGGTTGCCTGGCCTGTTCATAATAAGTCACCACAGTAAAGATACAAATAGTCTCCTGGGAGAGAGGCCAAGCCACCTCATTATCTACTTTACCACCTAAGCCCAGAAAGGGTGGAGCAGGCTCAAGGTCACCTGGGGAGATTCTAGCCTCAGCTTCCCAGCAGAGGGGTCTTCTATAGAAAGTGACCCCAAGACAGGGGGCTGTCATGGGAGTCACAGATTTTCACCCCAAATTTAAGGGGGTATCTGAGCCCTGTGTGTCCTTCCTACCCACCTCTCAGGTAAGTGGCTTTCCTGGTGTCACGGGGTTGGAATGGGGGAGTTTTATTTTCTTCTTTTGCTCCTCTGTTTTTTCCAAGTCTTGTACACTGGGCAAGCACTACCTTTGTTATTGCAGCAAATGGCATGGGCTGCTGTTGCTGTTTTTAAAAAAAACATTTGCAGGATGATTTTGCAAAAAGTCAGTGTTACAAAATCTCTCAACTTATTGTCAAATGTTTCTGGAAAAAAAGTATTCAGGGAGATACAGCAAATGTAGCAAGGTATTAACCATTGATGCTTAGGCAAAATGTACGTCACTGTTCATGATACTATTCTTTCAACTTTTCCATAGATTTAAATTTTTTAAAGTTTTTTTGGAAAAAAAGAAGATATAAAACCATACACACAATGGAAACAAAAAATTGGAAGGAGAGAACACTAAACAATAAAACAAAATCTTTGTGACCTTGAGTTAGGCAAAGGTTTTATAAATACAATACTGGAAACATGATCTATAAAGGAAAGCTATTGGTAAATTGGACTTTATCAAAATTAAGAACATTTGCTCTTTGAAAGAAACTATTAAGAGAATGAAAAGACAGGCTACTAACTAGGAGAGACTATTGCAGTACACATACCCAAGAAATGATTTGTGTCTACAATATAGAAAGAAAAAAAAAAAAAAAAAAAAAAAAAAAAAAAAAACCCAAAAAAAAAAAAAAAAAAAAAAAAAAAAAAAAAAGGCAAAAGGTTTGAACAAATATTTCACCAAGAAGATGTATGGATAGTAAATAAGCACATAAAAAAATGCTCAAACACATCATTACCTATTAGGACAATGAAAATTAAAACCACAATGAGCCGGGCGCGGTGGCTCACGCCTGTAATCCCAGCACTTTGGGAGGCCGAGGCGGGTGGATCACAAGGTCAAGAGATCGAGACCATCCTGGTCAACATGGTGAAACCCC